GAGGGCGAGGCTGGTCGACCCGGGCCTGTTTCGAACGAGCCTGATCGGGCGAGGCCTTTTCTACTCAATCCTGATCAGTGCGGGCCTGATTGATACGGGCCTGATCTACTCTGGTCTCGAGAGGGCGAGGCTGGTCGACCCGCGCCTGTTCCGAACGAGCCTGATCGGTGCAGGCCTTTTCTACTCAATCCTGATCGGTGCGGACCTGATTGGTGTGGGCCTGATTGATACGGGCCTGATCTACTCAGGTCTCGAGAGGGCGAGGCTGGTCGACCCGGGCCTGTTCCGAACGAGCCTGATCGGGCGAGGCCTTTTCTACTCAATCCTGATCAGTGCGGGCCTGATTGATACGGGCCTGATCTACTGAGGCCTCGAAAGGGCGAGGCTGGTCGACCCGCGCCTGTTCCGAACGAGCCTGGTCGACCCGGGCCTTTTCTACTCAATCCTGATCGGTGCGGACCTGATCTGTGTGGGCCTGATTGATACGGGCCTGATCTACTCAGGTCTCGAGAGGGCGAGGCTGGTCGACCCGGGCCTGTTTCGAACGAGCCTGATCGGGCGAGGCCTTATCTACTCAATCCTGATCAGTGTGGGCCTGATCTGTGTGGGCCTGATTGATACGGGCCTGATCTACTAAGGTCTCGAGAGGGCGAGGCTGGTCGACCCGGGCCTGTTCCGAACGAGCCTGATCGGTGCGGACCTGATCTGTGTGGGCCTGATTGATACGGGCCTGATCTACTCAGGTCTCGAGAGGGCGAGGCTGGTCGACCCGGGCCTGATCCGAACGAGCCTGATCGGTGCGGACCTGATCTGTGTGGGCCTGATTGATACGGGCCTGATCTACTCAGGTCACGAGAGGGCGAGGCTGGTCGACCCGGGCCTGTTTCAAACGAGCCTGATCGGGCGAGGCCTTATCTACTCAATCCTGATCAGTGCGGGCCTGATCTGTGTGGGCTTGATTGATACGGGCCTGATCTACTAAGGTCTCGAGAGGGCGAGGCTGGTCGATCCGGGCCTGTTCCGAACGAGCCTGATCGGTGCGGACCTGATCTGTGTGGGCCTGATTGATACGGGCCTGATCTACTCAGGTCTCGAGAGGGCGAGGCTGGTCGACCCGGGCCTGTTCCGAACGAGCCTGATCGGGCGAGGCCTTTTCTACTCAATCCTGATCAGTGCGGGCCTGATCTGTGTGGGCTTGATTGATACGGGCTTGATCTTTACAGGTCTCGAGAGGGCGAGGCTGGTCGATCCGGGCCTGTTCCGAACGAGCCTGATCGGGCGAGGCCTTTTCTACTCAATCCTGATCAGTGCGGGCCTGATTGATACGGGCCTGATCTACTGAGGCCTCGAAAGGGCGAGGCTGGTCGACCCGCGCCTGTTCCGAACGAGCCTGGTCGACCCGGGCCTTTTCTACTCAATCCTGATCGGTGCGGACCCTATCGGTGTGGGCCTGATTGATACAGGCCTGATCTACTCAGGTCTCGAGAGGGCGAGGCTGGTCGACCCGGGCCTGTTTCGAACGAGCCTGATCGGGCGAGGCCTTATCTACTCAATCCTGATCAGTGCGGGCCTGATTGATACGGGCCTGATCTACTCAGATCGCGAAAGGGCGAGGCTGCTCTACTCGGGTCTCGAGAGAGCGAGCCTGGTCGATCCGGGCCTTTTCTACTCAATCCTGATCGGTGCGGACCTGATCGGTGTGGGCCTGATTGATACGGGCCTGATCTACTCAGGTCTCGAGAGGGCGAGGCTGGTCGACCCGGGCCTGTTTCGAACGAGCCTGATCGGGCGAGGCCTTTTCTACTCAATCCTGATCAGTGCGGGCCTGATCTGTGTGGGCTTGATTGATACGGGCTTGATCTTTGCATGTCTCGAGAGGGCGAGGCTGGTCGACCAGGGCCTGTTCCGAACGAGCCTGATCGGGCGAGGCCTTTTCTACTCAATCCTGATCAGTGCGGGCCTGATTGATACGGGCCTGATCTACTGAGGCCTCGAAAGGGCGAGGCTGGTCAACTCGGGCCTGTTCCGAACGAGCCTGATCGGCGCGGACCTGATTGATGCGGGCCTCATGATAATAAATTAGGTGTTTGAACCTCAGAGCTGAAAGCAAAGCTGTGCAACCCCGACATCAAAATCACGACGTCACGCAAAACAACACAAGAGAACAAAACAATTTCATCGGCTCCTATCATGCCGAGGAGTACAAGCGCAAAGAATCACGCATAGAAACAAAAATCGTTAAAAACGACCAAGTAAAACCAGAGATACAGCCATTTCAAACACTAGACACCCGAAAAGGCAGTCGCACATCACAAGAACGAGCCACCATAGCACGATCGCATTAGGGTTGACTCTAATAGCGACCCAGGTTTCGTAAAATGTCCGATTTGCCAATTTCGTGACAAGGGAGAGCCGGCGCTTCGAAAATAATTTTCGGAATTCCCAGCTACAAATCTTCTCAAATCAAGTCTCGTAGTTTTGTCTCATGTGTCACACATGAACCTGTGCCAATCACCATCCGTTGGCAGTGTAACACTTTTTTCGAGGAAAAAAGACGATCGGCACGGCATTTGGAAAAAAAAAAAAAAATGAGTTGATTATCTCTTACTTAATTATCGTAATGCCTGGTATATGAGTTCCCCGGGGCTTGAATCAACGAACGTTGAGCTGACTCGAGCTCTTTATTGCAGGTTCAGCAGACATCAGCATTGCCTGAGTCGAAGTCACCGTAGTGACTCAAGATGTCTTTTGCGGCGCGAACTCCACTAAAGATGGCGCCATGAACGGTTGCTGCAAAAAGTGAATAGCCCCAAAAGCGATGAGGAAAGAGGTTCGCCCTCTCATTGGTCCATTTTTTCCCCGACACTTTCTTCCCGGATCGCAAGTGCAGTCCCAACGGTACCTGGATATGAGCGACAGGTGTGCTCCCCTGCGAAGGCAATGGGCGCGCCACAGTCTGGGGACTGGGTTGGTCGAGGCAAACACAAGCATGAGGGCGACGCTACAACACCAAGGGTCGGCGCTGCTTGAGCTGGCTGCAAATCCCCGTTTTCAAACCTGGATCATTTCAGCGAGTGTGTCGTAAAGAGTTCCATCACCACCCGGCGGAATATAGGAATAAGAGCCGCTGAAGGAGACAACAGGTTAGAGGCGCGAGAAAAAGGCGCAGAGAGAGAATGTGTGTGAGTGTGTGTGTGTGTGTGCCCTGAGTTGATCCGAAACAAGTATGCATGTGCGTGCAAGTGGCTCCTGGCTTACCGTGCGTATTGGTTGCTGCGCCAACGAGTGATGTGCTGCAAAAGAAGTCACCACGGTCCGGTTACCAAGAGCCAGCGGGCAACAGCAGCCAGGTTTGTACGCCGTGCTTACGTGATTTAGAAGCTCGGCCTCATCAAAAGCTTGCTTGAAGACAGATTTGAGCCGCTCTAGGCAACGGTGAATGATTATGTCGTCATCCAACTCCTCTGTTTCCTGCAAAAATGAAGGACACATCGTCATTGCGTTCGTAGCTTCACGACACTGACAGCTGTTGATCGCACTGTGCACAAGACACGTGACAGGTCAAACACAAAACAGACCAGGGCAGCAGGTCCTGAATTCATTGCCACTAGAGTTGGGGTACCCCGGGCGGGTTGAAAGTTCCAGATCATGTATGCACGGCCACGTGTTTCACTCTCCGCATTGAGCAAACCAAACATGTCAACATTGCTGCTCCAGAACGCACGATCAAAACATAGAATGATCTATTAGCAAAGCACCATTTGTGAGTTGCCTCAGAGTACATGATCAGTCAAGCTCTGCAGGTTCAAACCTTGTTTAAAACGCCAAAACCCAATTGTTGTATCGCAGCCATTTTTCGTGTTGGGAGGGGTGGCTGAAAATCCACTGTGTTTGACTGCAAGCGGGCACAAAAACAAAAAATGAGACTTTTCAGAGAAAACCCCATCCCTTCCCCTCTCCCTTCAAATGAAAACAAAAGAAGAATCGCTCACGGACCTTGAGCACGCCAAGCGGGATGGCCACAACTGCAGCATCAGCTCGGAAGACAGCGGCATTGGAAGTCACGACTTCAACCTTAGACCCATCTACAAAACTGATGCTTTTAACTGGGGAATTGTAATGTGGAGCCAGTCTGTCGAGTTGGCAAATCAAGTGAACTCATTTGCACGAGCGGATGAAGTTAGGGGAGCGAGCTGGCGCAGCGACTCACGTCGACGCCATGCCGGCAGGGAAACTACCAAAGCCGTGCTTGGTAACGTGGTGAGCACCTGCCAGTTCAAAGGCATCGTCCTGTATTTGGTAAGGGTTTGGATCATGACGGTAATTGATGAGACAAGCGAGCGGCGTTTGATGGCAAGAAACATGAAGCAAAAAGCAAGATACCTGATCCCAGTGGGCAACCGATAGATTATCCAGCAAAGAGGCATTGGCAAACTCGAGGTTGGAAATGTGCCAGTTAACCAGCCGGCGGTGGCGCTCATCCAAGACTGAATTGGGGGTATCAGGCAAGGCCTGTCGAGAAGCAGCGACTTGCGCGTGAAGCAGTTGTTCTTTCGCTCGCAAAACGGCCACATTGGCCATGGCTGCCTGCCAACGCTGCTTGATTGAGTCGAGGTCAGGTTCAGCGGTGGAGGCTTCCTGCGAATTGATAGAATTGGTAGCCGCAAGCATGAGGGCGCAACTGCTGGGTGTGGGGGGCAATTTGATATCCAGTTTCGGCTTGTAGGTACGGCAGTGCGATGGAGACGAAGGCCGAGACACGCACAAATTGAGCAAAGCAGCTAGGGCTACAGGTGTGATGAGGATCCTCGAGCAGCTGGCATGTTTCAGTATGTTCCAACTTTAAGATGTCGTGAGCAGCTGCCTCTTGCTGACGCTGCTGAAGAGCGACCATGGCATCGGTCAAGGCCTATGAAACATAAAAATCAATGAATGAGGCACGGTTGTGCTGGGACGTGAGCATCAAAGAATAAAGTCAAGTGCAAGAGCGGCTGCAGTCGCGTGAATGACTTACTTTGCGCACGGCGGCCAGCTTGTCGATGTCATCACAAATCTTTTGAAGCTGACGGTCGTATTGAGCCATGGCGTCGAGATCCTGAGTGAAAGTGTTGATGAGAACGAAGGACAGAAATTTTCAAAACAAATGCGCCAAAAGGCAAGTCCGTACTTCGCGTTCGGTTTGCATGCGTAAAGCTTGACCCAGGGAGATGTGTCCATCTTCTTCGAGGGAAAGCAACTTTGTGTGACCCAGCCAGCGATTGAACTGCGATAGCAGGCCTGGGTGAGCAGGACGTGCTGTTGAGACGCCGAATTTGAAGTGGGGCTCGGTTTCACACCTCTGCTTCAACAGTAGCATCTGTCTGCGGATTGACCTAACGATCGCGCAGTTCCAAAAGTCACCACAAGTTGGTTAAGAGAGCCAAACGAGAATGTTGGAAAAAAAAGAGAGAGAGAGAGATCAAGCCGTTGCAGTGTGTCAGGTACCTCTGTGCCATCAACATCGTATAGTGGGCAAGCACCGCGCAGCGGATGAACTTTGATACCCAGTTGTCTCGCCAACACAGTGAGAGGGTTGCCTCCTTGAATCATACAAAGTTGGGGAAAGAGCAAAGCGTTAGGAAGCATTCAGGGAGTCATGGTGGTCGAGTTGAATGGCAAGGGGCTGTTTGAGGGATACAGGGACACAAGAACACAGGGACACAGGAACACAGGGACAGAAGGCCACAAGGCCACTAAGACACGAGGATGCCAGGATCGAGGAGCACAGGAAGAGTGAACCCTAGGCGCGCTTCCTTACCCAAGCCAGTCAACACCATGGCGCCCATGTCAGCGACATGATTTTGCCACGTGTAATTCCTCACTCGACCACCTGGTCGATCCTGTGGTTCATGATGGTGTTGGTTGATGGTTAGGGTTAGGGTAATGAGCGCAACTAGCCTGTCGGGCACAAGCTGGGTACATGTTATTTGGGTGCATGTACGGCGTACCTGAGCTTCTAGGACGGTGACGTGGAAGCCGTGATATTTTAGGTGATTGGCAGCAGCTAGGCCGGCGGCACCTGCACCAATGACAATCACGCTCCGATTTTTGCGAGGCACCACATCTATCACACACCAAGGGAGATGGGGCAAAGTCAAACAAGTCCAGGACTCGAGGCCCAAGGGGTGGCGGGAAGGGTCCCACCAGACTGAAGATCGCGCTGAAAGCTGCCAAAATTGATGGTGCAATTCAGGGTAAAAAAGCGAATGATGCGGCGAGACCAGCCTGCGATGACATGTGTGAGGGTTATCATAAGTTTTGCTACGAGTATGTGGCTGGGCCATGCCGTGGATGGAGGGTTGGGGGTAGATGCGCTTTCAAACAAGGGAACGGGCAGGGGTGTGCAAATGTTTGAACACCGTACAGGCCAGGCGTTGTTCGCGTCCTAGCAAGAGGTGATGAGGGAGGCATTGAAGAACATTATGCGTGGTGACTTCGGAGCGGCAATCCTGCCACCATAGCTGCAGCTGCACAATGCCCGAAATGAAGATGCCAGAGTCGTGAGAGAGGCAAAGCTTGAGGCATCAAGAGTCAGGAAAGAGGGAGAGGGCTCATCCTTGCCAAGGGACCCGCCCTTTCTTGGTTTGAAGCATGACGTGACTGGCTCATCGGCTGTTGGGAAGCGATGTGATGTGTTGAGGACTGACAGCGGTGTTGCGAAGCAGGAGGTAGAGTTGGATATCACAGGGTTGCTGTAAGATGTCAGCAAAGGCGACACGTTCGTCTGCTTCCAACTGGTCGGGTCGGCGTCGACTAGGGCAGCGGTTAGACAAGGGACAAGGGTGCGAGCGTGAGAAGGGGGGAGGCGTCATGATACAGTGATGCAGTGGGGTAAGGGGATGGGTTACCAATTTTGGCATCTGCTCACCAGGCAATGACGGCCGCTTCGTCGTCATGGGCAAGATCACTGGAGGCATACAGGTTGTGGTCATTTGCTTCGCCTGCCTCAGGGGAGGGTGTGGGGGTCACAAGACGAGGAGGGGCGATGTTAGAACCTCAGCGGCATACGGGCCATGGCCACCGTCTGGTCCAAACAAGGGGACAGCTGATCCCATCAGGACAGGGGCGTACCCGTTGCTGGGAGGGGCGTTGATGATCGATGTGTGCCGCCGCCGCTCTCGGCTGCTGCTGACGCTGCTGTTGATGAGAGGGGCTGCGCACTCAGACCTGCACCGGCCTTGGAGCTACCGCGACCTCCCCGGCTTCGACCCCGACCCGAAGCCCGACCCCGGCTCCGCCCTCGCCCTCGCCCTCGGCCCCGCCTTCGCCCACGTCCGCGACCTCGACCTCGAGCCCGGCCCCGGCCAGGCACAGCCACCAGCACTGGATTGAGCTCCTTGACCCGTTTGGCCACGGCCACGGCCACCGTCGCCGGCGCCGTAACGTCCATGATGCGGACGTACAAGTAAATTACTTTATTGAGCTGCTGTTGTCCTTGCCTGTTGTCGCTGTCTGTTGTCGTTGCCTGTTGCATTTGTATGTTGCGTCTGGTTGCCTGTTGCGTTTGTCTGTTGTGTGGATGTCTGGCACCTTTTCCTCAACACATGTAACATGTAACAAGAGGCTGAAGCCAAACCACGACTTCTCGTAACCAAGGCTCGATTGTTGTCAGCCCAAACAAACTAGCAGACACACGTACTGGTGACATTACTGGTGTGGTTTTGTCTGGACGCGAACAAATTTGTAATGAAGAATGCAAGGAGTTCTGACCAATCGTGTCCCTCGTGGTGTAGCGAATTGGCGTTGTGCCTTTGGCGAGTTTCCTCGACTGGATCAGGATCACTCGAAAATGGTCGTCGTAAGAATGAGAAGGGGTAAAAAAGCAAGCAAGGCTGCAAGAGAGGGGCAAGATGATGCCGTACCGAATAAAGTTTATCGACATGGATTCTGTGTCGCCATCTGGTCGTCAAGAGGGGTAAAACAGACCCCTTTTTCTGCTTGGATTGACTTGGGCCGCAGCATCCAAGCGCACGGTGGGGCGATGGAAGCGGTGGGGTGTGGTCGTCACACCCAAGCAAGTGAGGCTTGTGTCATGTGAAAAAGGCACACAAGAGCGGTTTGATCGACGATGTACAACCCCAATACTGCTCGCAGCATTTAGACGACGGTATTCGGGTGTGTCAAGTCAAAAAGTCGGCTGCAACTTGGCATGTGGCCCGCGACAACACGCAACACGCGCCCGACCTCATGCTGCTGTCAAAGCGCGCCATCTTGCCCCGTCAAGGATCAAGACGCCAGTGATGATGAAAACCAGTCCTCGTGGAACCTCGTCCGTGGGAATGGGTTGGCTTTGAAACGCGTGGATAGGATACGTCCATGCTTCTGATCGAGACCCATGATCACCCATCGATAAAAAGCGTGACTTGGCCTGGAATGCCGCATCACCGCCAGCATGTCAAGATCGCGTAACAGCGCTGGGCACGCGCGATATTGGTTTCATGCTCATGACAGAATATGTTCTTAATCATGACAGGCCCGTTTTTCTCGGGGCCGGTCACACGTCCTTCTCCACCCAACCTCGATCGCTGTTTGCGCTGTTGCTTGCTTGTCACGAGCTCTGACGTCATGAACCTACCGGCAAAATTTGTCTCGTGCCTCGCTCGGAAAAACCCACACTCGTGACCGTGTGCCTTGCATACAGAAAAAGCAGAAGAAGAAGAAGAAGAAGAAGAAAAGCCCTCCTCCTTCTCTTATCGTCGTCATCACCCACTTCACCTTTTGTGTGTGTTTGTGTGTGTTTGTGTGTGCCTGTCTGTGTGTGTAACAAGCCCACGGCGTCTCACCCTCACCCAAACCCACACACACACACAAAGAGCGTGGGTGAGGTCCCACGTTGTGTAACCCACTGCCATGCTTTTTGTCTCTCGTGGTCATGAGTTTATGTGTTGTGTGTTATGGTGTGGT